GTGGAAAGAAAATTGAATCAGATGGTTTCGGTAGGTATTCTTAAGCCTGTGTTACATTCTGACCGGGCTTCGCCCATTGTGGTGGTACCAAAAAAGGATGTACGTATATGTTCTGATTTTAGGTTAACTGTAAACAAGGCTTTAAAAATCGATCAGTATCCTCTCCCAACAGTGAAAATTTTACACCCTGCCAAAGTAGCATATCAGCAGCTACAAGTTCATATGGATTTTCTGAAACTGTTAACAATAAATACTCATGTGGGGTTGTATACATTCACGAAACTAACCTATGGGATTTCGTCTGCTCCGGCCATATTTCAATGCATCATGGATCAGATCCTAAAGGAGTTAGAACGGGTTCACTGCTATTTGGATGATATATTAGTAGGTGGAAGTTCAAATGATGAGTGTCAACAGTCTGTAGAATCTGTATTGTGTAGACTTAGTAAGTATAATGTCAAAGTTAATCTAGACAAATGCACATTTTTTTAAGTATTTAGGACACCGATTTAGGACACCGATTAGAAGAGAAAGTGCGAGCCATTCGAGATGCGCGTGAACCGCAAAATACTACTCAGTTGCTTGCATATTTGGGGCTGTTGAATTACTATAGTAAATTCATACCGATGTTATCTTTACATCTGAAACCACTTTATAGTTTATTGAAAAAAGGGGTTGAGTATAATTTTGATAGTAACTGTAAAAGGGCTTTAGAAACAAGTAAAGAGTTAACAACTCAAAATCAGGCACTTATGCATTATGCTCTTTCAAAAATTATAGTTGTAAGTTGTGACAGTAGTGTATATGGGGTTGGTAGTACCTTAAGCCACCAAATTGGCAAGGTTGAAAAACCAGTATTTTTTGCTTCAGGTACGTTATCAAAACTATTCTCAGCTGGAAAGAGAGGCTCTAGCAATAATATTTGGGATTAAGCGTTTTCACAAATACATTTATGGGCGGCCTTTTATTTTAGTATCAGATCATCAACCTCTAAAAGTGATCTTTAATCCAGATAGAAATATTTCAGTGATGTCGGCATCCAGGATCATCAGATAGAATTTAATTTTATCTGCATATGACTATAAAATTGAATATAAAAAAGGTTGTCAGTTGTATGAGGCAGATATGTTGTCAAGGTTGCCATTTCCAGATGCAACCGAGGTTGACAGTGCAATCAATTTTTTTAGTATATAGGATGAACTTCCTATTGCATTTCAGGATGTTAAAAGGGGTACAGGTAAAGATCCTGTGCTAGTAAAAGTAAGAGATATGATTGTTAGGGGTTGGCCTGCAAAAATAAGTTGTACGGAGTTCAAACCATACTTTCTAAAAAGGAATTAACTGTCAGTGGAGGATGGATGTGTGATGCTAGGGAGTAAGGTTGTCATTCCAGAGGCTTTTTACGTGGTGAGGTGTTGGAAGTCATTCATAAGGATCATATTGGCCAGATCAGTGGTGTAGTGGCCAGGTTTACAAGAGTCTATGGTAAATAGTTGCTTCACGTGTCAATCAAATTAAAGAAATTTTGAAAAGCACTTAATATCATGGCTAAAGACAGAACATGTATTCGAACGGGTACCTATATATTGACTTCTTTTATAGAAGTAGTACTTATTACCTTTTATTAGTAGATAGCAAATCCAAATGGGTGGACATACATAATATGTCAACAGGGATCAATGTATATCAAACTACTGAAGCCTTGAAAAAGACTTTTTCTGTAATAGGGTTTCCTGTAGTAATTGTGAGTGATAATGGGTCCCCGTTTTACTCTAATGAATTTTTAAATTTTTTTTTCATGTAAATAGTATTAACCCTTTGAAAACCCCTCCTCATCACCCACAATCAAACGAATCATCTGAACCTCATGTTCAGACAGTGAAAATGTGTCTAAATAAATATCTTAGTGAAAAATCTAGCTTAACGATAAGGCAACAGATTGTAAATTTTCTATTCAGTTATAGAAACACAACAACAAATTATTAGTAGGGAATCTAGGTCCTGTCAGTATTGATAAGTGGAGGATGGGTACAGTTGTTAAAATAATCAGTGCAATGACATACCTGGTAGAAGTTGGTGACAATTTGTTAAACAAACATGCCAACGACCAAAGAAAGTGGACAGCAGATACTAGTCTGCTCACGTCTGCGAATAAGTTTAACCAACCTATCCCAGTTATGGGACAGCACACTGCGAACCCGGATCCCATTGAACCACAATATAATACATCTAAATCTGTAAGTTCACCCTCTATTAGCTAAGATGGTTGGAGTGTCAAACTTATCAACTTTACCATTTGAGACCTGGCGAGCGACCGCGTTCAAATCCTGGAGGGGCCAATATCTTTTTTGTTTTTTTATTTTTTTTTTGTTTTTTATTTTTTTTTTGTTTAGAAAATATGAAAATTGAATAAATACGATTATTGTTGATTATTTTTTTAAATACATTTTAATTATTATAATAATAACAACCTGGTTTTACATTTTGATGAAATTATTTTGTGGTCGTAGGAAAAATATTGTACATCACTTTGCTACCTACTTTCTGTGCCTAAGCCCCTGAGGTGGGATTTATGTCAATCCAAAGTTGGATGCCGACTAACTACAGTGAAGAAGGGGGTGAGTCGTAGAAAAAGTTATGTTCTTCAGTGGGCGGCAGGAGTTTAACCTCACATCCAACAATCCATGTGACAGTTCACTACCAAACTCCAAATAGGAAACTATAGCATCTCCTCTACAATGCCATCAAGCGGCTACAAATTGAGTATGTTCCTAATATATTATAAGTGTGCTTTACCATAAAAATAAATGCTCAACCAGACGTTTATAAAATCAAACATACAATTAGCAAGTGGGATAAATAATAAGTAAAGTCCAATATATACCCAAGTTTAATAACATAAATAATTAATCATGTTGACATGGGGGGGTCAACTTCGTTACCACTATAAAATGTACTGATATTTACCAAATTAAATAACAATTAAATCACTTAGTACATTACTAACAGATTCCCCAAACTATTAACAGTAATCCAGTATCACTGGGAGTAATATTTACAACTAAAATACTATATCAAGCTTAAAAATCATTAAATGGGACTAAGGGTAATCGTAAAACTATAACACATGAAGTGTGTATTGTATTTAGCAAAGAAAACAAATAATAGTGTACTATTTACGGACGCTAGGGGTAAAAACAAGTAAAACTCTATTACTTATTAAAAATATAGTTACCCATCAGTAATATAACCCACGAAGAGCTCTTGGTGAAGTGTTTAGGGTTTAATAAAAATGTACTGTGAACCCCTAAACCTCGTTTACATTAGATTTAGATAAAATTATATACTAATAACACCCCCCAATAAAATAGATTAAATAGTAATAAGTGATATAAAAAAAATAAGATAGCAAAACTTGCGGTACACTGTGACTTCTTCCCAGTAGACGTTGATGTATCTGCTTCATTAGCAGCATACGAATCAATCAGCTGGTCACACGATGTGCCAGTCAGCCCGTCACAAGAATACTGGCCCGTCACAAGAAGTGTTGGCCCTTCACAAGGAATACTGGCCCGTCACAAGAAGTGTGTGCCTGTCACAAAAACCCTAAAGAAAACGTGTAAGATAAAACACAAAAATAACTATTTATCCCTGGTTAATAAGAAGTTAAAATTAAATAACCAGGTACCTACATAGCCTTCTCGTGAAGCGAGGTATAGAAATAGGTAATAACTACTCAACGTTTACTAGTTAATTAAAGTTCGGCTTATCAATTTATGTAGGTAATCTTCAGATTTACAAAGTAACAGGATAGACGGCTCGTGAAGCGAGTTCTACCCAACAATTACATTTAATAAGTAAACTACACCCTTAGATTTCAAGATACTACCCCTAATAGTCAATCCCATATACTGAAAATATATACAATCAAAAGAACATAACCTAGGGTTAGGTCTAAGTAAGCATTCTAACTAAAATCAAAACATATTTACCCCTTTTTTAAATCCGCAAAGGAGGAACAAACTATGCACCAGATCAGCTTGAACGGCAAATTCGTGAACGACTTATTCAGAACGACTACATGTATATGTGGACACTGAAATAAAAGAATGAAGGTCTTACAAAAGAATAACTACGTCGTAACCGTAAATACGGCGTAGAACAAAACTCACCTATGAGATTCAACACGTGGTTAAATATATCCTCCTAAGAGCTCCTACAACATGTGATCACCAAAAAAATACTACCAAATCCACATTGTTGTAACTTAAAACAAAAAGGTTGCTTCGTAATATCCCAAATGGATTGAAACGACTTCCAATAAATTTCAAAAACAGTACCTTTAAAACTCACGTGCCGAATCTGAACCTCGTGTCGAATGTCAAATCTCGAAAATTTCCAGAAGGCGGAAACCAACGTCACTTCAAAAAAAAAACAGTTATACCAACATACCTCAGTGACAGATAGGTGTCCCATCTATTACGAAATAAATTCTTGACAGAAAGGGCTAAAATAACCAAAAAAACCTCTAAAACCAAATAAATAGCCTAGCTAAACCCAAATAGAGGTCCAATCTACCCCAAACTGATCATATACTCGCACTTAACGTCAGAGTGGAAACGCTAGACCGACATCTTGAATACAGGGCAGCCACATGCTCACCCAGAGTTTCACAGAAGGGACCGCTCTGTTGGAATATCGAACCAAAAGCACAGTGGTTAAAAATGCGGGTATAGAAGGACCCATTAAATAATTATTGAACACGGATAAAAACTAGTATATTCTTATTTTTATGAAAAACTGCTATAAGGCCAAATTTAAACGTTACAACTTGTGTGAAAAGTGATTTTCCACACTCGTGTGATAGTCACACTCATCTTGTGTCTCGTGCGACAATATTTCCCACTCGTGTGAAAAATGTCACTTTCCACACTCGTAACGTAATATACTATATCTGTGTTACAATTTAAAAGATAAACGATTGTTTGAGTTACACTTACTTTTGTTGTAATGTCCAGCGCACATTTTGTCGTAGGTAAAGTATAAATCTGTCCATTCCTTGGGAAGTTCAGCAAGGCATGTAGCATCATCTTTAAATGGTATTGAGATCTCTTTAAGCGTATTCGAAGGTGATCCATGTGGCTCCGTGTAGCCCCAACCAGTTATCTAAATAAATAAATACGATTTTTACTTTGATGAGCTTGAATTTGTTGTTAATCTATTGGGTGTAACAAAAAGGTAGAAAACCAATACCAAATTAATGTTTTATTCAGTTTGAAGGTGCAACTCGTTTTGGCTAACAAGAATTACATAATAAAAACCGCTGACCTGTCTCGAGAAGTTCCGAGAATTCCACCAGCTGGCAGTTCAAGTTACTTGTTATCTCTGAACAAGTGTTTAACATTTTGTTATTTTATTTTTTTATTTATTTATTTTATTTATACTGCAAAACAAACAGAATGCAATCCATTTACATGTTATACAGTTTGGTACACTTACAATAATTACTAAAACTCAAAATAAATTTAACAATGGTATACAATTAATAAAAATATAATGTGTTATGTTAAGAGTTATATAAGTTATAATAGTTTTTGTTAAAATGTATGTTTATCGAATATTAATTTCAATTTGTTGAAAGACATATTAAAAAGGTCAATGTTACTGCTAATCATGAACCGATCTAGTGTTTGAAGCGAATTATCAATAGGTGAGAATAAATAATGTGTATCTTTGCCTAAGGCGAATGTCTGGTACGCTGAAATTGATGGAGGCTAGTAATTCGGGTAAATTAAAATTTCCATATAAAATATTTGTTATAAATGTTAATTGGGCTTTGTTCCTTCTGCTAAATAGTGTTTCAATATTAAAATCTATTAACTGGCTCTGGTAAGAAATACGTAAGGGGTAGTCTCCATATTTTTTCAGGTGTAGAGATCTAATAAAACGCTTCTGCACTTTTTCCAAGGTATCATTATAAAGGATTGTTTTGGGTGACCAAATTATACAGGCATATTCTATTTTAGATCGTACGAATGCATTATATAGAACCTTGCATGTTTCGGTAGAGAAATCATGGCAAGCCCTGAGAATAAATGCGAGTCTTCTGTAGCAGTCTGTTGTTAATATTGTTATATGTTTATTAATATTAAAATTTGAAGAATAAACCACCCCTAAATATTTGCTTTCGTTTGTTCTCTTTATTAAGGTATTGTTAATTTTATAATCTGTTATGATGGGATTCTTCTTCCTAGTGTAAGTGATGATATTGCATTTAGGTATATTGAATGAGAGGTCGTTGATATGACAGTATTTGGATATTGCTGTGATATCCCCTTGTAGTAACTCAGCATCAGCTGCAGAGGAGATTTGTCTAAACAGCTTCAGATCATCTGCATATAATAGAAATTTAGAATGTTTAATATAATCACTTATATCATTGATAAAAATGACAAATAGAAGTGGTCCCAGAATCGACCCTTGTGGTACACCAGAATTCGCTATGAAGAGTTTCGAATTACTGTCATTGAATCTAACAAAGTGTTGACGATTCGTTAGATACGACTTTATTAACCGAGTTAGATCGTTGCTGAATATGTTTTGTAATTTGTTTATCAGAACATGATGATTTACTCTGTCAAATGCTTTTGCTAGATCAGTATATATTGTATCGACCTGACTGTGTGTTATAGTGTTAGCGACATAATCGTTAAATACACATAAATTTGAAATTGTTGACTTTTTATTGATAAAGCCATGCTGCTCATCAATTAATATGGGTGACACATGTGAATAGATCCTATTATAAACTATTCTTTCGAAGACTTTAGATATAGAGGAAAGAATTGTGATAGGACGAAAGTTCTCTATTTGGCTCGTATTTCCCGATTTATGTATAGGTGTTATGCGACCAGTTTTAAATTTATCAGGAAAGATATTTTTTTGCACTGATAATGTAAACATTTGTTTTAGAGGAATCGATAATATCTCTGCGTAAGCCTTGAGAAAATACGCAGGTATATTATCAATACCCATTGCAGCGTTAGGCTTATTCAGTGACTTGATGGCATTCAAAATTTCTTCTGTGGAAATGTTCCCTAGCTGCAATATATTTAAATTATAATTTTTGTATTTTACCTGATCTGGGATTGCTGAGCTGTTCGAATACACAGATTCAAAAAAATTAGCAAACGCTTTTGCAATGTCTTTATTGTTTGAGAAGTGTTCTCCATTATATGAATACCTATATGCTATATTGGACTTACTATTTGACCTTTTACTTTTAATATAGTTCCAAAAATTTTGGGGGTTATCTGTTAATTCTTTCTCTATGTTATTTAAGTAATTTTTGTGACATGCTCTTATCAGAGATTTGACTTGCTTTCTTAATTCCTTAAAGCGTTCTGTATAATCTGAATTTTTTTTTGATTTTTTATTATAATGTGATTTTAATTTTAATTTGTGAATCAATTCTTTGGAATACCAAACTGGATATTTACCCCTAGTATAATATCTTTTTTGGGGAATGCATTGGTTTAATATATTGTATAGCACTTGATAAAATAGATCTACACATTCATTTGGGTCGTCTGATTTTATTAATGTTTCCCATCTACATTGGTTTAACATATAGTATAGTTTAACGTAATCTCCTTTTTTATAGTTACATCCAGTCTGATGTTAGCTTGCAATTAATAAAGTCATAAAAATATTGTACTTGTTGTTTAAATAAAAAAATATATTTTTTTTAAACGATTTTTATCAGGCCTATAGTGAAAATGAAGAATTGATAGGTAACAGCGTAAAACGAAATAGTACATTATATACCTAGGGTGAGAAGTGAGCTATTATTTACCGAGCACTTTTATATCCTGAGGTGCGTAGCGCCGAGGAATATAATGTGCGAGGTAAATAATAGCTTTCTTAGCCAAGGTATATATAGAATTTTTTTACTACTAACATTAATATATTAGCAATTTTAATTTTGACATAAGTAATTTCCTAACAATTTGTTAAATATTTCGAAATATCTAGCAGAGTGGAGCGTGTTTCTAATCAGACTGGCTTTATTTATGTAAAAATTTGGCATGTGTCAAATTTTGATATGATTCTAGGAAATATCCCATTGCATTTTTGATATTTTAGAGACATGGATTTATTGGTATTAATAATTTTTGAAGCCTATTACCGGTGTTGAATTTCCTAGTTAATATATATTTTTACTATTAACACTGATATATATTATCATATTTGATTTGATTAGATTTTAATTAACCCAGCTTTAGTTATTTCCTACCAGGGCTGGTATATCTAAGGGGATCGCGACATAGGAGTCCATTTTGGACGCCATTTTTTTCGAAATAGTAGTCACATAGTAGTCGCCATTGATCTGGCAACGTGGCAACTTGTAGTCGCCAGGTTTACCAATATAAGAAAAAAAATCAATGTCATTTCTTAAATGACATTTCCATTATAAAATGCCCATATTTTTTAGGTTAAAATATTTCAATTTAATAAATTTATTAGTCTCAGATGTACATAAAATACGTCGGGAAAAGTAGATCACTTTCAATTTTGTGCTGTTTTAGTTTTGTTTATTTTAAAAGGTAATTAAAGAGATAAAGACAATTTTCTTATAGATGATGCATAACAAATTATTGCTCCCTTTTTTAGAGCTCCAGTCCCTTAAGTCTATTTATTTTAGGTCTTTTTAAATTGTTGGTAGGTAATATTCACTTCATTTGTATGTTTTTAGTTAATTTAAATAATTTTGTGTAATATCTTGCGATTTGTTTTCTATACATTTTAGCATGTTTTTGTTGTCTACATCTTACAAAGGATGGATTTGAAATACCTTTACAACAGAGGTACTTTCCTAAAACTGGCCGAAATTTGAAACTGAATACAGTTCTTAGAGAAAATCTCCAGTAAAAAATGTCTGCATGCAGAATAACAGTAGCATAGATTAACAAAGCTGACAAAAGAGTTGGACAAACCTTTGTCTAGCTTTCTTAATATTTCAGGACAATAGTGTTAACAGCAGACTACAACAAAAACATCCAAAGTTTAGTAATCAAGCAAAATATTCCGGTATCTATATTTTATTCAAAACTTTTGTGCTTCTACTCCAATACTTACCATATAGAAGCATATACATTTTATAGTATTTGCAAGATTCGGATCAAATGTACCCACAATTTATAAAGATTATTAAACTAAAATATAACATTTCAAATAACACCTGCTTATATGTTTTTATTAAATACATAAATTAGTCTCAACCACACATTTTTTTTTGTTTTTACTTCTAGTGTAAAAGTGACTACTAATTCAGTCTTTCAAGTTTATTATTTATAGAGACCAGCTACTACAAAATATCTTATTGATGATAACTAATTTCTCTTTAATAATGGTTTTGCATTTATTAACATTTTACAGCACTTTGTTTATATGAAACCTCTATTTAACTCTTAATTAAATCACATTTAAATCAAGTAATTACATTTTCATATTCAACTTATGTATTCTTATTAGAACTTGGTCACTTTTTTTTACTTTGAATCTTTTGACTGTGGTAACAGTCCATTCACCAAACCACAAAGTCACTTAAAAATGTTGAAAGAGAATGTCATAAAGGTAAAATTCCTTCTTCTATCATGTTTTTTATGCAATTTTAGGTTGTAAACGTTTTGTCCAACACCTTTTTTACAATTTATCCCAAGCAACACTATGAAAGATTTAAATCCTGAATTTACAGCATTCAGTTTTGAAATGAGTGCAATCACAATGTAGTTTAAGAGATAATTTTCACATGAACACTTATTTACCACAGCACAAACGCATGTACCTATTCATGTAACATTAAAATAAAGTGGAAACAAATTGCATAATTTGGTATATAAAAAAGTACAAAATGTTTTAATTCGACATTGGACTACGAGGAAAACAGTGGTTCATTCCACTTGTACCATATTGACATTATTATCAGTTATTGTGCACGATGATCGTTCAAACGAACGTCAGAAAAGTGTTGCCAACTTAAGCTGACTACTATTTCCCCCCTAGCCTCAGTCACCCCCTCATCCATTTACTGGGTCTATGTCGCGACCCCCTTAGATATACCAGCCCTGTTTCCTACTTATTTTTTAAATATTTCAAAATATCAA